TCCCATCCACTCCTCAGAAAAGCTGCTGCAACAGTGCAGCTACGCAGGTAACAGGAGACGGAGGGGATTGTAGCCCCCAGGTTGCAGTAGCTACTGCAGGATGTCCGAGTACAAGCGTACACTTACAGCTGACCTTCTTGATCAGAGAAAGAGCATCCTAAGGGGAGCATGATAGCGTCCAGAGCAACATCCTGGGGCGGGGATCCTCGGGTAGGAGTGCATTGCCAGCTGTGGCCCTGAAAAGGTAGCTGGCAGGGTAGGAACAGTACGGGGGTGCCACCCTGGATGGACAGATCATGAAGCAACAGGACCCATGGGTTCACTCATCTGGAACCGACCCGCCCAAGCCCCTCCTCATGATTCCCCCAGGTCCCCATCCCAGACACCACCCCACTAGCACATCCCCGCTCCCCCCAAGACACGGTGTGCTGCTTGCTGCCCACCCCAGTGGCAAGAGTCTCAGGCCGATTGAAGGAGGGTGGGGCCCACATGTGGGAAAGAAGCACTTGGGGAATCGAGCCTTGCCTCAGAACTTTGACTTCTGACTTCAGAGATTCTCGATGAGAGAGAAGAGCAGACGTGCAGAAAGAATGAAACCTAAAATCTGTCCTGCCTTGAGTCCCTCTGGACTCCTCCACTCATCGGAACAGGGTTTGTCACCCACCCTGACACATTTTTGCCTGCTTGGGGAGGGCAACAGGGGAGAAAGAGTTTTCATCCATCGTTTCATGTTGTGGCTAAAATGGATCTTGCTTGCTTTAAACATTGGGGTCACCTTTTCTGAACAGCTTAATTCTCCTCTGCCCTACTGGTGACACCGCAGGCAGCATTTGATCCTGGGCCTAGAGCTGCCCCACTCAACCAAGAAGGAGACAGGTTACAGGACAAACGTCTGGTGCTGCTGTGGCTGTCTAAAGGCATTTTCTGTGCTTGTTTCCTGTCCAGTTCAGGTCTGTGGTGCCAGGGTTTCTCTTTCCCAGTGTATGGTTTCAGGTGTATTCTCAGCTCTCAGTCTGCCTTACTTGTTCAGTTTTGTCCTCACTATAAATCACACTGCTGCCACCCCCTCTCATCTGAACAGCAAGTAAGAACTACGCAAGCATTCCTTTCACGGACAAGTTCTCACACCTAAGCATGGACTCTCTCCATCTGGTTTCAACCCAAACCCGAACAAGCAGAGTAGGACTAACAGAGTCCCCCACTAGTGCTGTTTGCTGTTGATTACTCCTTGATCGGACCTATGAATAGAACTTGTGTCTGGTCCTCCTTCTACCCAAGAGAAAGCCGGGAGAGTCTGGGAAAGCAATCACACTTGAGCACTCCCACATGCTTCTGGTCCTAGACCACCTTTAGAGTGAGGGCACACGTGTAGTTAAAGCTACGGCTATGGTGGAAAGCCCACATGGTAGCACTACTGTGGGAGAGAACAATGACCACCTTATTCAGAGCGGTCAAAGGTTTTGTTAAGCGGCTCTCTGGCAGCAGCAGGATTTATGGGATGCAGGGCAATTCCAGTAGCAACCAGTGACACAGCGCTGTACCTTTCTTCCTCACCCAGTCCTCACGTCAGGCGGCCAGCCAGACTCATGATTTCAACATGGGCCAATTTTTTGAAAACCTTAAGCTTCCACTGGGAAGCAAAGCACTCGGCAAAGACTGCTAGTGTAGCCTGCTCTGCACTAGCAGCACACTGGCAGCTCCGAGCACCACAGTTTGATTTTTCTGCAATTTTTTTCTCCGCGCACCTCAAAGTATTTTCCCCATGTCTAAGGGTTTTTGGAGGAGGGAAACAACTGCAAATATTCTGTTATTTGTGCAGGTTCCAGGACAAAAATATGCTAACAGTTGCAAAGCTTCAAACGAGGTTCCTCCCTCTGGAAGGTGGAAGGGGCTTTGATAGGCAGAAAGGGCCCACACATTTGCCTGTCTTGATCTCCATGAGAACAGATGCTGTTCAGGTTACATCAGCCCCAGCTTAGACTGTCAAACCCTGGTCAGGGTTGCCAAGTGTGAAATATTTCCTACGATACTCACACGTTCAGTAGCCCTATCGGGCTCTCCCTCAGCCCAGCTGGGTTCCAGCATGTCCAAGACGTGCAACCTGTTAGTGACTGCTGCTCGCAGCCACCAGCAGCGGTTACAGCGCACGTCAGACCACAGAGCTTCCCACCTCTTCTCAACCCAGAGAGAGCAACACCCAGAGCAGAAAGTGAGTGGCCCAATACTGGAACTGGCACCACACCTACATCCTTCTTCTCTGCTATTATTTCCAAGTGGTAAGTCCCCACTGTCAACTCGTAACAGAAAAGTCTGCTCTCGGCCATTAACAACATAACCTTACATTTTGTACTATTGCATTTCATCCCATTTCTACTGTCTCAGCCATCAAAATTGCCTACCCCCTCCTATGGGATATCCCAGTCCTCCCCTGTATTGACAATGCCTCCCAACTTTGGATAAGCAGCCAATTTCATTAGCACATCCACTTCAGCATGCCAAGATCATTAATGAAAACTGGGCCCGGGACCAGCCACTGGGGAACTCCTCTAGTAATCTCTTATAATTCTTGCACTTATCTCCATCTTAACTAATAACTCACCATGTGGCACTGTAGCAAATGGATTACCAAAGTCCAAAGCAATCAGTTCTACCGCATTTAGTGTGACCTCCAACCTAACACGGGGTAGAGGAGGTCCCAGGGTGGAAAAGCATCCAGAATTCATTTCAGAAGTGCCTAGGGAGCTCTAGAAACATCCATCCCAATCTACATAAAAATATTCCATGGATAGTTAACAGCAACGCTCAGACTTTGCACCTTACTCCAAGTAGTGATTCGCCTGATATCATCTTAGAGCCACTAGATCTTGTTACATCTTTGCTCCATCAAGGAACTCAAATTCCTCTTCCCCAAGCAAAGCACACACAAACTGTGAGCAGCTCACCATTCAGTCTCCTCAGAGAGAGGGAGCTGCAGGGAGCTGCAGGAACTGGCTCACCGGGCATCCAGCACCCCCAGCTGCCCCATGGATTTCCCCTGAACCTCTTCCACACTCTGTGTCTTCGGTGAGCTGCTGGCCTCTGAGCTGGCAGTGCTCTCCCAGCCCCAGACCCCCAAACATGCAGGTGAGGGAAGGCTCCCCACAGCTGTGCCCGGTGTTTCCAGCCACGGATCAGCTGCGCTGCTGCCAGATACCACCCCCTCCAGGTGCTGGGGCCACATGCCCCCGGGGCCCACCTCTCCCAGAGCACGAAGCCCCCAGGACTTGCTTCCGCAGAGAGCTCTGCCCAGCTCCCATCTCACCCACAGCCCTGCAGCAGCTGTCCCTGCCGCATCTTCCCAACGGCACAGCCAGGCCGCCGGCTTCTTCGGCAGAGCAGCCAGTGCTGCGAGCGGCTGCGCTGGATCAGGAAGGCACGAAGCCACCATCCTGCCCCAGACCTCCGGGCGCCTGGCCAGGCCAGGGGTGTTCGGCTCCCCCTCTGCGGGCCCCCAGGAGAAGGGCTGGGTGGTGCGGTGGGGAGCCCCTGCGTAGCTAGGGCAGGGTCCAGGTGAGGGAAAGAGAAGGGTGCTCACTTCAGGGGCTGGGAGCCCCTGGGCTTCAGAGGAGCAGGCACAGGCCCAGCCCGGGGCAGGGAGGAGGGAGGCTGGTGTGGCAGGTGGCCATGGTCAGGGCATGCCCCAGGAGAGGAGCCCGCACAGGCCCAGGTCATGGATCCCAATCTCAAGTGCGGCCGCTGTTTTGTCTCCCTCGTGTGGCCCTGGCCCCCGGCGAGGGCAGCGGGTGCCCAAAGCAGCCCCTTCCCCTCAGCAAGGGCTGCGGCAGCAGGGGAGTCCTCTGCGCTCCAGTGGCCGCCTGCCTTCAGGGCCGCAGGGCTTCACCCTGCCTGCCCGCTACCTTCCCCCGGCCCCTGGGACCTCGCAG